CATTTAGGCAAGTATATATATATATATATATATATATATATATATCATAATAAGTAAGAATGTATATTCATATTTGCATGGACTTACATACGTTAATGTTTCTGAAAATATACAATTAATTGTTAAATAATGATCTTTGTGTATTTACTGTATATTTACACTTATGCTAATAGAGCAAAGAATGTCTTCAAAGGCTAAGACAAGGCAAATCAGTAGCAGAAACTAAGCCACAGTAATAGTTTGAGTTCCGGTTATTTGGCTGTCAAATGTTCAACTACTTTTACTTTTTGCCACTTAAGCAAGTATAATGAAAACTGCTCTTGTCAAAGTTATTTGACCAGAGGATACCCTCGACACTGCTTTGAGTTGCTGCCAAATACAAAAGCATTTATTTTACAGTAATAGTTTGAGTTCCGGTTATTTGATTGTCAAATGTTTAGCTGAAGTACTTTTACTTTTTGGCACTTAAGCATATACATATAGTGAAAACTAAAACAATTTGGAGTGCTCTTGTCAAAGTTATTAGACTAGGAAAGAACCTCTACCAAGGTTTGATTATCTGAAAAATACACAAGTATTCATTTCTCTACGTACATGCGTAATAAGCATACAGACTGTTAATACACTTTTGGCCATCTGCTCATTTTAAACCAAAGTTCTGCTTCTAAGCATGTCTATACAAAGCTGAAGAAGAGCATGAAGCAGCGTATTATAGACTTTTCGAAAATCAATATATTATTTTTATTATATTTATTTAAATTGTGCACAGCTGGATTGAATTTGGACCAATTGGTAAATTATCGGTGCGCTAATTAACAAGATTCAATTTCCCGGAACTAGATCGTGGTTCGATTGGGGTTTTGGAATTGGAGTACTTGGCATATATTAGACTTATTTTTTGTGCTTCTACAATTGTAAAATGTTCATTCTAAAGTACATATGCTTAATATCTTTTCAATCTGCCAGATATTATTATAAAATAAACAAAAATGAACTATCTATGGTCGTACTTAGGAAATGTTGTCAGGCAAGGCGTGGTTGGTCAGCTGGCTAAATTGTGCAGCTGCCGTAATATTTTACTCTGGAGCATTTGTATTAAGTATAAGCCGGTTGTCGTAAGTTCTAGTTTCTAGGTGCCACAATTTAAATGGCGCGGTCGTGCTCGTTTGCCTGTTTTTATATGCATAAAAACTGCAGCACCCGCCTCGGCGTCTATGGGGCCCAATACAGCAACTGTAACGTTCAAAAGCCGCCCAGTCGGTAATTGCGAAACAGTCACTCCAAGGCGTGGAGAAGGTCAGCAAGTCGGTTGCTGCTACCTTTGTTGTCGTTGCATTCACATTGTTGCCGTTTTTTCTGTCACTGTTCTGATTTCGAATTTTTTAGCTGTGGCTGTAAAGTTTGCTTTGCTGCCTTGGTGAGTGGGTGCGTCTTATATAAACGGAAACTTCAAGTTAGACTCATATATACCAAATGTATACCATATATACTGCGTATAAGTTTTCCTCGGCTACTCTTGCGAACGAACTCTTTGATATAATGAGAATCTTAAATTTTTGTGAAAAACTTAACATATATTTTATATTTTAATCATTTGGCAGGCAGCTTGTTCGCTTCTACTTATAACTTAAAATCAATTTTCAAATAAATATTATTGGACTCTTAATTAAATAACTTAAGTTATTCAGTTAGATAACTATAAATACATAGACAAACTCTAAAAAGTTTTCTTTAAATATTGTTTTACTTGTAAAATATGAAAACTTTATTAATATGTGCGGTTTAATTAATTGAGGTATTTAGCCTTTTCACGAAAGCTTTTTCAACCACCAGGGCCATTAGATCGTAAGCTTTTCTTCATGGCAGCACTCCCATTTTTGCCCAAGCTGCGAGTACAATAGATCGGTTTTTCGACCACAGCAAGTAGATACAATGTACAATCTGCTGTGAAGGCCGTTACAAATGTAGATTTGAGCATGTATGCATGTATTGGTTTTTGGGCTTACAATAGACTGTTTGCTATACGCATTAAAAGGGAAGTTATCAAGGCTGAATACTTAACGGTTCAATGTACACACTCAAAATTGAGGTATTTTTGTCAATGTGCAATATAGAGTTAAATTGATTATGTATTATTATATATAATTAACCAGGGACTGCGATCCTCATATTGCTCTGGCTCTTGCCAATCGGCCTAAAGTGTAGTGGTATTGAACACATACTTTCAAATTATAAACACAGATAGAGGATATATATGTATATATATAATTAAACATACGTTTTCTACATATGACCTAACCAGCTGGTAATACATTTGCACAATTTTATTTTACCCTCTCTACCTCATTTAATGAGTACAAGATATGATAATAGTTTGACACGGCAACAAGATTGTTATAACTTGATATATTATTGCCGCCTATTTGTGAAGTGAATGGCAGACATTTAAGGGGCGCCGCCTGAACCTTTTGCAACAGCATATGGATTTGCAAATGACAAAAACTTTTGGTAACATTAAGACAAATTTAAAGCGTCAATTGTCGGTTGAATTTAATAATTAAGACATTGTGGCACAATAGATTAATTTGTTTATGAAAATGTACGTTAACTTAATAACTTTTTGGCGTAACTATGACATATTTGTGCAGCCAAGCCATTATGACTAACTAAACAAACGTGTATATTTTACATACATTACACAGCAGTTAACCTAGATACCTGTGTATCCACTATAGTCTTGATAGTTCATTCGAAGGGCCCTGCCGACATTCTTATATTTAGTTTTAAACATGTTCCAAACTATGAAGACGCAAAGGCATTCATTCGGAGGGTCTAAATGGTCTTGTGTAAAAGTGTGTAACAGGCAGGAGTCATCTCCGACTACAAAAGGTCTATATGTTCTTGTTCAGTTCAAGCAGCCATGTTGATTTAGATAGTGATCATCTGTGTGCCTTAGTAATGGTTCACAAAGGTTGGAACAGAGAATAGAGTACAGTGTATTTTTTTACTATTGTATTGTAGTCGTTGCTGTTGTTTACTAAGACTATTAGTCTTTTATAAAGAAAGTTAGTATTATTTCAGGGCTTTGGGAATTTTATCTGCTCTATATTTTTGTACGCTATTTCCATTCAAAGTTGTTTTTAAATATTTATAAATTGAGAATGGCCCGTGCTCAGATCCGAATCACTTCAATATGTATTCATATTTTTATATACGTAATGTAAACATGTACTTACCCAAAGATGCTCTATATCACCATCGGTTATTTTATTTCCTTTTAAATCATATCACTAAAATAAAAGAAGTGAGAGGATTGTAACAAAAACAAGAGAGCGAAAAAAAAAACAATTAGGATGCATAAAACTTGGTACGAAATAAACTACGTATAATCAATATATAAAATATATATGAAAATCTGCATTAATTGCAATTGGCTGTTCGGTTCGCACTTATTAAGTCAAAGCTAAAGGCATGAAAAATAAGCATTTATCCCCAATGGTTTCATGTCTTGGTGCTCACTTTCCTTCCGATAAATAAATAGCATGTGTTTAACAATTTTACCAAGCGTGCATACATAGATGCATGTATACAGGCAAAACTTTATAAATATATAAATGTATACGCAATGTATACTCCTTACAAGATGATAAGATTTCCAACAGAACTTGTTATTATAACACTTATATTCAAAGAATAAAAAACATACATTTTATATGAAGTCATAAGAATTACAAAGTAGGGCGATATATACAAATACGTTCTTTTAATTTGCAGTGCTGCGAGGCAGTTATCAAAACAATTAAATAAACCTAATCACAACCTCGCACATTGGAATACCCTTACGATTTTTATCGTAAGGTTTTAATTATCGGAAAGAAACTCGATCTGCGCGGGCACTAGGAGCACCTATATCTAAACTTTCAAGTCTCTAGCTCTTATAGGTTCTGATAACCTTGCGTTCATACATACGGACAGATGGACATACAGACAGACGGACATGGCTAGATCGACTCGTCTATTGGTGCTGATCAAGAATATATATACTTTATGGGGTCGGAGATGCTTCCTTCTGCCTGTTACATACATTTGGATTTTGCACAAATACAATATACACTTATACCCATTTTTAATGGGTTCAGGGTATAAAAAAATTAAAATTTAGCCATCAGATTCGCAAAGCCATATCAATTCATAGTCTACCAGCAAATATTAATAGTTAAAGAGTAACATGTGAGTAAGACAGGTTTTACTCTTACTTTCAAAAGCTTAAGAGATACCGTCGAAGCAAACGGAATTGCGCGCAGCAGATCAAGACAACAGCAACAGTAACAGGGGACTGTTAACTAACAGTCAGCCACAACGCAGACCAAGCTTGGAGTGGAAATCTGGCTTGGTTTGGGCCAGCTGACTTACTTGAAGCACTTGCTGTGCACAGTCGCGTTGGTTAGGTGTTTCGATTAGGACGTGTTCCCTTCAGCGCACGGTAAGAAGTGTTTTGGCTGATAGAATTGGTGAAGTGCAATAAACTGTTGCTCAAGAACACCGTGTGCAAAGTTCAAAACGGTTTGAAGCATTACAAAAATCACATATCAATGTGTTTATAAACCTGTAAGCCTCGACCTGTTAAATTCGTGACTATTATACTCAACTAACTTACTTATAGAAAGCAGCCACAACTGCATTTCATAGTTCAAGAAACGAGCATGTGTGCGCGAAAAAGCTAAGGCAAACGTATTCGGACTGGCTTTACGTCAAAAAGAAAGTTTCGCCAAGAAAAACATCAACAATAACAAAAACTTTCAAGCTTGGCTGTTTGTTTGTTTTAATTCGCTTTACATTTTCTTCGCCTGAATATATATTAGTAGCATATATTTTTTCGGTTTTCTTTAGTGCGACCGCTAAGCAGTCAATATTAGTTTTTGTATTTTTACCAACACAAATGTAACGTAATTTCTTTATTTAAAGGGTTTTTCTTTAAATCATTTTTGGTTGAACTATAGGTTAGTGCAGATTCTTAGAAAGGAAATCCAAAATAAAAAACATATAGTAAATCCAAATGTTGAAATTAAAGTGTGTGTGTGAACAAAGTTGTGATTAAACCTAACGAATGTGCGAATAATTGGGGGCAGTCAGCAACTGCGACAGTAATAACTGCAACCACACATTGAAAAAAAAAAAAAAAAACTGAATCAAAGTGCACCCACAGTAAAGAAAAAAACCAACAGTTCAAGAAAACTGTAACACAAATGCTTGAAAACGAAAAAAATCTAAATTGAAAGATTACGACACTGTCTACATACATACGAAAATACATCAAGCCTTTGTTTGCAGTAAAGACTGGCAATTTTTTGGCTGCTGTTGCCGTGCCGTTTGAATGTCGGCCTGTGCTTGCATTTTGGTATTTCAAATTCTGTGAATTAACCTAAAAAACGCAACTGCAGCAAGAAAATTTACAGTTACAGTGATGCGCAATACCAACAGCAACATGCAGTTTTCAACACATCGACGTAGTTTATACTGGCTTCTGGGATTATGTCTATTGTTATTCGAAACAGGTAAGCTCGTATTTGAATGCATATTAAAAACAAAATCAAATGACTTAAGACACAAACTTGTTGCTAAGAAGTCTTGTATCTTGGTTCTTCACCTAAGACTTTAGGTGACTATCAAGTTAAACAAAATTAAATTGCGAAAATCATGTTTTAGGTAAAGAATTTACGGATGTTATAGTTATGAAATTATTTATAGTCATTGGATGAGACCATTTTCTTTGAACTGTAATCTGTGCTAAGAAGTGATTCTGGAAATGGCTAAATTGCTCAGATCGTCGTCCATACATGTAAATAAAATTAACATACCCTTTTTAACAGATTCGTAAGCTCTACACCAGAGCATTTTAACTTGCATTTTCCTAAGTTGTTCAGAAGTAATTCTTTTCAATAATCGCAAAAACTTGTGAGTCTAAGACATGTATATAATTATATTCTACGACTTTCTTTAGGCTTGACGCTTCATGAAATCAATTGCAAAGCCAGTGCCGTGTTCACAAAATCAACAGTTCATTACTCACAGAGATATTTAATTATGTTGGCTTGCTTGATCTATTTACTTAACATACATATATTCATATGAATAATATGTAACATAATTATTTTCAAGCATAGCATCGAACAGGGCGATTGGCCAGCTCGCACTGTCCACTTAACAACACACAACATATCGGGCTTATGTAAGCTATGCCAATCATTTGCTTGCTTATGGCGCAGATATTAATTACATGCAACACTTGAGTACCGTGAACGCTATATGTTACCAAACAAATTGCGGTTATAATAACTGTAAATAATTTGCAAACACAGCTCACTTAATTTTCTAAACTTTTGAACTGTCGAAATAATAATTTTACCAAATTCAAGTAGTGTAAGTATAATTAGTAGTAGTAATTATGTATTCCTTTACTTTAGAATTTTCTTTGGGTTAAGAAGCTATTATACTATTTTACCCACAATGTAAAAATGTATATAAGACTTTATATAAAATATTTTACTGGAGGCAATAATAAAATACATTTGTAAAGACAATCTAATATTACGTGCACGTATTATTTTCCTTCGTTCAATTTGCCTTCATTGAATTACGAGCGGTGGCGCGCTGCATATTCCACTTTCATTTTCCGAAAACTGTTATGGTATGTATATCGCTTGTTACAATGCATACATACATACACACGAAGTAAAAAATACTTTACCACGTTGTTTGTCTTTTTGGCCGTTTATTATTGTCATTCATTTGTATGTATTGAGAAGACCTTTGGTAATTGTTAATTATTTATTGGCAATGGAATTAAAACGCATTGGCCGCAAAAAGAAATCAACCTAGTCCAGCATATGGTCTGTGGGGTCAGGTGTTAATGCATATAATTACAACATGTTGATGGCATAACTAATACATAAGCATGACACAGTGAAGACGAAAATAAAGACACATTGGTTGGTAGCCCTATAAGCTGTATATGATAAGTGACATTATGATTGTGAAAGCCAGCACGCGCAAGTAAATTTATTTTCATTCGTGCACTGATAATTATCATATATAATTGTCTAAGGTTGGCAAAGCTCTTTTTTTTTAGTAAATTTTTGGACAGGTGTCCACTCGGACACAATATAAAATATTGTTGGTTACTTTTAAAAAAGAAAAGCTAACAAGAGCAAGTAATACCTTTATACAACATTACAAAAGTATTATGTCTTATAGTTTTATAGCCACTAACTCCCAATTCCACAGATGTTTTTGACCTGTATAGCTGGTGTTGTACGAAAAATACAGTCTCGCACAGTCGGTTGAACATAATTGAAATGTTCTTATGCGTCTAAAAATAAACTAAGTTATTTGGCTAAACATGAACACAACTTTATTAACCGTGTTAGTTTACAATAACTGCAAGGGTTTTGAACGGAACACCCAACAGATAAATTTTCCTTCCTCTTTATGAAAAAATATCAATGCCAAATAATTTTTCCTTCCAATGCCAAATGAAGTTCAAAAGATGCACATAAACGAGAACTGTAAAATTACTTCACGACTAAAGATAGTGTCAATGCACACCGTGCGAAACTGTTGGTACACGCGGAAGGGCATCATTAAATTATTAGACTAGTTGACATGCCTGTCTTGCTTTTACTCTTAAACTATTGTAATCTGCAAGTGGTGCCTTTGTGCATGCATATGGCGTAACACAGCTTATAGCGCTTGTAGCTGTTGTACACTTTCGTTTTTCCCACTTGCAGCTGATCGCAACAAAGGCAACACGCGCCCGGCGAACATTCATAAATATGAATAAAGTATATATGCATATAGTATATATGCATATGTAGTGCAAATATTACGATAGGTTAGGGTCTATGACATCTTACAATTAATAATAATGGAAAATTGAATTAAATTTTTATTTGTAACACGAGTGGAATAATGAATCATCACATCGATGAGATTTTGGTAGGCAAGCGTCTACGACACCTAGCTTCACAACAACCACCAAATCCTATTTATTGTATTTTATACAATTATTTTTTTGATGGCGCAACCTACCTTGAATTAGTTGTCTTTCCTTCACATTGTGTCCACACATAAGAAGTACACATTGTCTGCTGCAGACAAACTTATTTTCAATGTGCAATGAGCATGGCTGCACTCTCACAACAAGCAAATATATAAAACTTTTGACATCTCTATAAATCGTCTTGTAAAATAGCAGCAAGTTGCCTTGACTGGCACGTCTGCTCTAGTTAACAGCGTCACACTTGCCTCTGCCCCAGACTCTGCGTCCAGAGTGCTTTTTCTCACTCACGGTGTGTAGCTAATGGTTGAATGCCCGGTTAGGATTGCGTAAAACTCTTAATTTTTATGATTATTTTATTCGTGTTTCCCATTTACGGCTCGTTGCTTATAGCACACACTCACTGACACAGGCAGGCACCCGTAACGCTAGCATATGAACTAAGGCGTATCTTTGTAATTGATTGAACAAACTGTGGTCCCGACATTCTATTCGCTTACTTATAATAACCAAATCAAAATATATATGGTAGATACAATTATTTAAGTTGAAGCGCAAAAGTGTGTGGCAACTATAATAATTAGACAGTCATATATCCATACATCATTGTCATAGAGTTATATACATACATAATTAGAACAACCAAATTATTCACATTCCTTTTAAACAGCTTTTATATAAGCTTTATTGTATTATGTCATAACTACCATTCGTCAATGCTGCAAATGTACATTTTAATATCAGATGTGTTCACCAAATGTATCTGATAATCTGTGAGATAATCCGTATGACATAGTGACAGGTTATGTTTTAATATAAGCATTTAAGGATTACGTGGGAAACACGCCTTCAATGAATTTTGACAAAGGTTAAAGCTGATCGAATAGAATATATCAAATTTTAAATTCCATTCCCTTTTCATAGAAACGCCACATAAGTGTTGGTATCTTTATATGTATCTAAGTGAAATAAACAACTGGCAAGCATGCTTTGTTTAACATGCGTTTAGAATGTTTATGACATTCCTTAACACTCGTATAGCTTATATTTATTTAGGAATCCCTACTTTTTTTACTAATCCACTACCCACCGTATATAAGTACTTGTGTAGTGCAATTACGTGAATACAGTGGCAGTTACAGCTATAAAGAGAAGTAGACAGCAAATAATTCAAGGCTGTAACTACACACAACTGCACAACAATTTAGAAAGGCAGTCATGCTAAATGATTTTGACACCGTCATGGGTCTTGGGCGTACAACGATGCAAGGACACAGTCCAATTTAAACGACTTACCATGCCTGGATCCCGAGTGGAAACGTATGCTTGTAAAAACATACATATAAGTAAAGGCTGCTTGCCATACTTGCAAGTTGCAATACTAATCCATGCAATGGTGCAGTAATTCATATTTGGCCCTCAAAAGCTATGGCTGGTTGAGGATCGACTTTTGTATGGTATTCAACTGAATTTTAAAATATCTATGCTTACATACAACAGATTTACCAGCTACCATTTTGCAACGGCAAGGCCATGCATTTAATTCTCGCCTCTGTAAATTGGCAAACTTATAAACTGGATTCGAGCAGATGTTCAATGACCTTGCAGCTTATATTTTTGTTATTGTTTTCAGGTGTATTCCGTTAAGTCAGCTTCAGCACTCAAGGCCATCAAGGGCAATTTTTCAGATGCAGGCAGTAACCACATCTTCCCTGGCTACCCACTAGCAACTTATTTTATTTCGCATAATTTATCAAATATTTTTTATGCAGCTTGTGCATGATGCTAACCTTTCACTTTCACTGCCCAGCAGCGCATACTTGTTACAGCTGTTTTAGCCGACGACGCGAAGTCGGTACCACAATGACAAAGTATTTATCGATTAACGATGCTAGCGTCTATTATGTAAGGTACTTACTCCCGTCCGTCTGTCAGTGAGCTGCTCCAATAAGTGAAGAAAATGTAATGATTTGTGGAGTGAACTGATTATGCGTTTATGCCTTTTGGTATTTAACATGCAGTGGACGATTAATCATCCAAAGAGCCTGGCCTGTCACGTTAGTCAATCGAAGCTATCTATGCAACGCATTTGTCGAAATTGTGTCAGATGCTAGATCATGAAATGTTTATTCATACTACAAATGTGAACTGTAGGTCTTTACCAGCACACAGCTGGTCGAAGTTGGTGATTTTCTTGTAATTGCCATATAAGTCAATTAACTGATGCAGCCATTCATGTTTTCGGTTAGTGGTTTGGCTTATTGCAGCAACGCCGTCAATTTGGTTAATCACAGCGGGAACCTGATGTGGCCCGCCACATTTTCAATACCACCAAAGCATTGAAGGCGAGGAACAAAAAAAGAAAAAAACACTTAGTAACTGGTTCCAATTACAAAGTAAAGTTTGATGACATTATGCTTAGTCTCTTGCGCCTCTTTATTTGTTATAAAATAAATTTATTGACGCAGTTTTACTGCTTCATGCCACCGGCCAGACGAG